ATTGATTCTGCTATTTTCCTGTTTATTACTGTGAAACTGCTTTGACTCGATCTGTATTGTATGAAACATTACAGAAATAAAGGTGGCCTGACTTGATGCTCTAATAAGCACATCAAACAGTGCATTTTCAATTAGATGGATCAAACTTTTATAATTTCCAGTGAATTAAAAACCAGAATAAAATGCTCTTAAATGACTGGTTTTGATCAAAGCAAGCACTTTTAAAACCATCTGCACCTTTAAACATGCTTGTTTCTGTAGACAAAAATGCTAAAGAAAGTGAAAACCCATGTTTTTTTCTTTTTTGTTTTGTCTGGTTATTGCTATTGTTAAAATGCTATACATTAATTTGCTATGCTATTCTTACAAAGGAGGAGACTAATTAGGACATTTGCATGAATTATTCCACCAATTGTTTATTGGGAAACTTTGATACATTTTATTTTTCAAGATTCTTTGATGAATGGAAACTTAAAAAGAATAGCATTTATTTGAAATAGAAAACTTGAAACATTGTAAATGTTACAAATGTATAAATATAAATTATTTCTTAAAAAACAAATCTTATTTACCTCAAACTTTTGAATGGTAAAGTATCACAGTGTCCACAACAAATCTTTTTTTTTTTTAAATCATATAAATGCAGCCTTGGTGAGCAGAAGAGACTTCTTTCAAAAAACAAAGTAACTCTTAATTATCCCGAACTCTGACTGGTAGTATAAAGATTGATCAACACACATACAGTACATAAAGGTCGTTAAATATGATCAACAGAAACTCAAAAATACGTAATGTGCGACTGGATTGTGGACTGCTTCAAAAGGAAAACAAATACATTTTAAAACAAATGAAAACATTTCTATTATGAATTAGCGTTTCTCTAGTGTGTCCTCATTTAGCCAAGTAAATGTGTGTGTATGTGTGTGTGTGATTTGAGCTTTGAGTTCTGGTGATGTCACGGGAGGGTTTATCCTGCAGTTGAGATGATCACAGTCTCAATCTGTCTCTTGGCCAGTGGGACCTGCTCACATCAGCATAAAAATCTGCTCGCTCAGAAATCAATAGCCACTGCAGCTTTAATAGAGGAGACACTTATGCAGAGAGAAAGCGATTCAACACAGTCAGCCACCCCAGCTGCTGAAGCTCACACACACACACAAACACAAACACACACACAAAATGTGTGTCCTCATAAACCACATAAACATGCACACACACACACACACACACACACACACACACACACACAGGCCCTGAAACAAACTAGATATTCAGCCCACTGCTAATACAATTTGATCAGGGTTTGTCTCGGAGGTGCATGAGGAGCATCTGACAGTAGGTATGTCAGACAGTCCACTGGGATGCTGTTTAAAACACACTGAGCGGCTATGATAAACACCTCTGGGGAACAACAGTGTCTGGATTTGCCAGTTTACCAGGTGGAATCCTTGAAGACAGAGTCCCGTTTGAGGCTGTTAGCAGCAGATAAACTCGTAATCCAGTGACAGAACTGGACCGTTCATTATATTCCACTCCATTTATATCTGTGAAATAACCCATTTTCACATATTTTTGCTAGTAGAGTGCTTTATGACGTATTTTTGGAGGCCAAAACCTGGAAATGAGTTGGACTGTAGTGCTGAAGTCAATGGGTTTTTGGCTGAAATAAGGTCTGTGGTGAATGCAAGCTCAAGATATTTTCACGTTTTATTCTACAACATAAAATACATCAGCTAATACAATCACCTTGTGATTTTTTAAAGCTTTTACTTGTCTTGAAAAATGCAGTTGATAACAAGTGTCTAAATGGCACTACAGAGCTTGTCGGAGACATTAAACGTCACACCGAACAGGAAAACTCATCTAGCCTTGCTGTGTTTATAATCGCACTCTTGAAAACTATTTTAACTTTCAGGGAAAATAGAAAGAGTTGTTAAAGCTTAACGCTGATGTTGAAGTCATGTGACCGCAGTGTAGTTTGTTTATATCCTATACTTAGCTTTTTACTTCTGACGATTGCATTTAGGCTTCAAAAAAAGTTATGCTGATTTGTGAAGATTATCATTATGAGCAAAACCTGTAAGAATCATAAACTTGTGTTGGTGAAAGAGCTTATTTTCTGCAATGATTCAAAAGCCAATTGAAAAATCCTATTGGATTTTTGTGGACGTACAGGTTGACCTACAAAACTACTGCAGTGCTCTAATGACTTCATTTCAAATAAACCCATGTTTATTTTACATGGTGATCAAACAGTCTCTTTTTCGGCTTTCTGAATATGCTTCACATTTCTGTTTGTGTTCCACAAAAATCATTAACAGCATTACGAGAGTGAGTAAATGATGACAGGAGGTTTGGTTTAACCATCTAAAGTGTCGTCTGAAAGATTTATTTTCAGACTTTCTCAGCTCTTCCTGAAGATAACGAAGTCACGGTCTGAGCTTTACCTACAATCATTATCAGCTTTCAGAGAAGGGTCTAACTTCTTCTGTGTCAGACATCAGAGTGTCTCCTGTTCATTTCTACTTTCTTATTTGTAACTGTTTTTCTTGCTTACCTCACAGGAAGTGCCATCATATCCGGGAGGACACTGGCACACCTCCACAGCGCGGGCCTGAACGCCACTGCCAGAGCCTTCAGCAGCCACACTCATGCTCACACGGCCCAACCTGAGAGAGAGAGAGAGAGAGAGAGAGAGAGAGAGAGACAGAGAGCGCGCGTGGTCCGTCACAGGGCTGTCAGTTGATTACATCCACCCTTGCCATGCTTATTAAAGAATAAATGATACCCAGTTCATGGATGATTTGTTCTATTGACTTCAGTTCAGATCCAGTTCACAAAACCAGTCTGAATGATTTGTTCACAAACTGAACTGATCCAGTTCTTGAGTTTGACTCTGTGATGTGCTCTCAACAGCTGATTAGTGAAGGAAGACATTTTGGTCCGTTTGAGATACAAAGCATCATATGACTCCAGAAGCTTTGGAATATAGTTGTATGAATCACTCTAATAATAATATGTTTATGGTGCTTTTATGGTGTTTTGGGGTGTCCAGGCCATATTCTGTGTAACTGCATAGAAAAGAAAAACCAGAACACAATTTCAAAGATTTAGTTCAAAAACATTTTAAAATGTCTCCTTTTATGATCCATAGAAAGTCATTCAGGTTTGAAATGACACAAGGGTGAGTAATTAAAGGCACAATATGTAATTTTCGCCGCTAGAGGGCGCGTATTCGTCTTTAGCAGGCGACACAATGACACTATGGACACGCACCGTGTCACTAGTTAAAATTGCTTATTTCTCTGGATTCTCTCGAAACATTTGGGATAATGTAAGTACACAAGTCAGCAAAATATATAACACTGTTCTAGTGGTTTTTGGATATTTTAATAAAAACATCTTACATATTGTGCCTTTAATGACAGAATTATCTTTTCCCATGCTCCTTCCCATTTCACATGATTAGATACTGTGGCCTTGAGAATATTTGTAGGTTTTAGCAAGGATAAAAAAAAAAAAAAAAAACTATTTAAACTGTAATAATAGCTCCACATTTAACAAAGCACATACACAAGACCTGAACCAGAAACAATGTGACCTGTTTTACAGAATATGGAAGTTTGTTATGCATAACCCCCCTTGAAAGTAAAGTTAAGTGTTCAGTGACTGTTATGAAAGATTGAAACCCTTGTGGCATCAAATCTCAGGTTCGCAGTCAAATACTGTTTTATAAAAAAAATAAATAAAAAAAAATGCAAAACTGAAGAAATCATCTATCAGACTTTTTTTTTTTTTTTATAAGTTATTTAATAAGTTAGTTTTTTTAATAAGTTATGTTGCTTGTTGTCCTTTCATCTGAGACTGCTTGTCTTCTTGCCCTTGCCCTTCCCATTCCTCTTCCATGTTGTCGTCCTCCTCCTCCTTCTTCTCCTTCTCTTCCTCTTCCTCCTCTTCCTCTCCGTACTCCTCCTCCACCTCCTACTCTTCCTTTTCCTTTTCCTTCAGTTCTTCCTCCACTCCCTCCTCCTCCTCCTCCTCCTCTCTGGTGTCCTTGACCTCTTCCTTCACGTCTCTTTGGAGCCATTGTTTCAAACCTGAATGAGCTGACTTTGGCCTCTTTATCTATCCATTGAAGGTTCTGATTGGTGTGTGATCAATTTTGACTCCTAGTGTTTACACTTGGGTAATTGTGTGCTAATTGAGCTCAAACTGTGCTAACTTGAGTGAACAATATCGAATGCTAGTGCGTTCTAAATGACCACATGGTGTAAGCACTGAGAAATGTAGGGATTTGTGTGTAGAGTTTTGCAGTGACAGTTCACCAAATCTGACTCATGTGTCAAAGCAGGGGAATAGAGTTTATAGTTTAGGGAAATGGGTGTT